TTTGACTTCAGAAAACTAGATTAGTCCATTAAAATGCAGATATATTCTGGAAACTTCAGCTGCAAACATCACGTGATATTTTTATCTGGTTTCTACTATGTATCTCTATGCATAAAAGTTATAATGCGACTGCACAAACACGCAAAACTGCTTGCAGCAAAATTAATTCCCTTAAACATCACAGAATTGTTGAGAAACATCATGAATGCTTCTCCAAACATTTAATTTTCTGGAAAATGTTAAGATGCGCTCATTCCAAGCACTCCACTTCTAGAGTATCAAATCCTAAACTATGGTCCCTGGATTTACATGCAGGACAATCACTCACCAATGCTCTGTGGACAGACAGCTGGCTATTCCCCTGCTTCCATCTTCGCTTCTGCGTTCGCCCCTATTTCTATGCTTATCCAGGATCTCCGCAGCAAAGAGGAGCTGAAGGTGACGTTGCACTGTGCAAAAGCTCAGGCTATAAGGACTTGAGATGATCAATACTGATGATTCTTTCCATTGCCATCACCAAAAGGCATGAGCTAGACTGTTGTGAGCTCTTCTGTCAAAATTATTTCTCTTCCAGCTATACCTCAAGCCCAGGCACTTCAGAGTTTCACAGAAGCACATCTTCTTGGCAAGCTAATTTTGTGAAGTGTTATGAGTCATGCTAAAATTGCTACCCAGCTCAAATCCCTGAATCTCTTGACCCAGATTGATTGATTTCCTTTTTGAGCCAACAAAAAAATAAAAAAATACAAGTTCGGAATGTCATACAATGCCAGTCAAGGCACAAGCAAAGCCCTCCCCATTTGTTTTCTTCTTCAATAACAGTGATATAAAGCACAAAACTGAGAGGGTCCAATTAATTTTTTGGACATTTAACTGACGTTTTTATAACTCCAGGACTGGGGCAATGGCTGAGCCTCTGAGGTGATACATGCCAAAATGCAACATCACAGTGAATTTTTAGTTGAGTTACTAGCCAGAATAAGAACAAAGGTTGGCATAGTTAATAACTAACGTTGCCGTGTCATCCTTGCAGCTACTCAAAATACTTACAAAATGACTAAGCCACTCTGGCATTAACTAAAATTACTAATTAATTTATGAGGTAGGTGGGTAAAAAAGTAATAGCATGACCACTGAAAAGATGTCTCACATCCCACAAACAGAATACCATTAACAGCAAGTGAAAACACTGAGTTAGTGTATAACTACAAAGAGTTTCATTCTAATTCTACATCAAGAACTAGGATTAGCCTGTGAGGGAAAAAAAGACATTTTCACTACCCTGATTCACAGTTCTCAAGTAATAAAAAACAAATATCCTGAAAAAATAATTGCTATCCATAGGTGTAAAATAAAAACAGGTTTTGTAACAAGTTTTCTATAACCAGAACCTAACTAAGAAAAATGTGTCTTTATCCAATTCACTAATTGTACATGCAAATTACCCATTTTCCTATGAAAAAACCCAATGTATTTATGTATGCAAGAGAGACAGTTTCACAAGAAAAATAGATACTAATGTGTAACATAATGAATGCTGAAAACAAAACAGAAAAGGTTTTTCCACAGTGAGTATACATATATTATCTGAAGTTGCAAGTATGACACCCCTGATGTCATGCGCTAAGAATAGTTTTCTTCAATGGAAACTATTTTAAAGGGGGATTCTCCATCAGAAGTCTTTTGTGCTACCTTCATAAATCTAATGATTTAAAAAAAGAATCTCTATTCAATATATGTATTTATATAATCACACAACAATGCTAGAAATCAGATGTCAGTGCAAAAAATAGAGCTATGTAATATTTTGCCTACAGACAAGCTTTACTCACAATAGGTACAAGAAAATCAGGATCACATCTTTTCCTGTTTAAATAACCCTATTGTTCTACAATTCTGACTTGGTATGCAAGTCACTTGCTGACAAACGAGGCTTGAAATCTTCATTATTCCCTTTAGCTAAGACATACTAAAACTTTATTATAAGGTGTTTTGTATTGGAGTGAAATAAATCAAGTTAAATTATTCTGAAAGAATATTATGTACAAATCTAAAGAGCTTTTTATTTTACAGTAAAGAAGTGAGTGGGATGGCACACTGTCCACTGAACATTTATAATCATTATGATCTCAAAATGCGTGCATTTGTCTCAGACACAAAGAAAAGTGGTAGGTGACTTACACTCATCCTGCTCTATGAATAAGGCAAAATGCCATTAAAACTGTTGGCACAGCAGACCATCTCCAAACAAAACACGATCATATGGCTTCCATGAAACTCCGTATTTCTTCTGTATTTTTTCCTGTGTTTATACTTTGAAGTACTTCCCGACATACTGGAAACTAGCTTTTGGTACTCGATCCATACAGAACAGCACTAGAGGAAAGAAACGTACAGCCTCACCAGAAAACAGTGAGAAGATAGCCTGCTACCCCAGTGGGACAGCTGTGCTTGGGGTGCTTAGAAATCTCCGCTTAAAGATCAAGGCCAATGGCTTTGACAGTACATTACTGGAGTTCCAGTGCCATTTGTCTTCTTGGGACTTGCAGGCACTAAGAGAAAGTATATTTGCCCCCACAGGAAATCCTGCTGGTGGCAGAGCTCTATTGGTAATGCCGCCAGGAGCGGGCATTTTGCCACCAGCAACAGAACAGCTCTGCAACAGCTCTACATAAATTTTTAACTGCTGCTAACTCCTGTCTGTTCACTAAGTACGTGAAGAACCAGCTTGTGAAAAGAAAACAAGCTGAGTTGTTATGAGTCTGCCATAAATGAAATGCTGATGAGTTGCCACTGAACAGCAAACATCCAGCCGAGAGGGAGCCGGCACAACACCCTCAGCCTAGGGCCCATCCTCGGCCACCTCTTTGCACTCAGATGCAGGGAAGAGACAGCTTACTGTCACCCTTCCCCTTGACCTTCTCCTATGACATGAGCCGTGCCAGTCATCGGTTCGCAAAGCAGTCACGTCCCTCCCCACACACGCAGTGAGC